AGCCAACTCCTTAAGGTCTCTGAAAGCAGATCATCTGGGAGAGCTAACAGAACTCATCCAACTTTCAATGTGATCTTTGATCAGCTCTTTCCTTGTCTCCACCTTCCCTCACGACCTAAGTTGCCTGGTCTGCTTCACCTCACACAAAGCTCTCTCCACCAAGAGCAGAGAAAATTAGTTCTGGACACAGAGTGCAAATGTTAGGAAGGAGGAGGATGTTTGAAGCTAGAAGATTCAGACACACAGCTTCTCAGACTTCAGTATTCCTTTCCGACATCCAACTCATAACTATAGATTTCACCTGGTTGCCATGGAAACACCAGTCTGGTGTATGGCAAGCGGCATTTTAGACAGAAAGCCTCACAGGCTACCATGGTAACACTAAAAAGAGTCAAGTTGCCTCCTCACTTGAAGGGGTGAGGAAGGATAGATGAAGCTGCCGGGAAGGCAGGCTGAAAGGGATAGCCTTTAGAAGCCTGGCTCCCACGTGAGCAGGGAGGGACTCAGTTCAATAGATACATAATAGGTGCAGGCAAAGCAGTAATGAAAAGGGCACATCTATGACTGGTCTCATTAGGCTATAACCATCTATTAATAGAGTATACAAAGAACTGTAAATTAAGGCAGAATAAGACCCATAATAGGACAAAGAATACGGAAAAAGGAATTCAGTTCCAACTAGGAAAGTTTCAGAGTCTTAAAAGGCCTAGATTTTGACAAGCAGAAGACAGGAAGAATAAAATAAGCAGACATGGAGTGGAGAATTTCAGGATATACTGAGAATTACAGGTAGAGACAGAAAAAAGGAGACCTCCCCATGACTCCAAGGCCTTGGCTTCCACAGTGGTGCTGAGGCAGGTTAAGATGAAGATCAAGGGATCTTGAAGCTAGATTGCCTGGACTTGCTAACTCTGTAACTGTGGGGCAAATTATTTAGCCTCTTTAGGTATCAGTTTCCTTATTTACATTGTAAAGGTAAAAGAATCTACCTCAGAGGATCACTGGAAGTGAAATGATTCAGTATACATACTGGCTACATTGCCTAACCCAAAACAAATCCTGCATAAATGTTATCACCTCCTACCACCTCCCTTTTCAGAGCCAGAATACACTCTTCTAACTGTCCAAGTATTGCTTCCTGAATCCCAATGTCAAAACACAGTAACTTAAAGAATAGGGAAGAAACGCCACTGCCTTAGAGAAGACAAAAGCATAGGCTGGATAAGTCAAAAGTCAGGCGAAAATCACATTATGAATGGAGAACTATTCAATTCCAACTATGCTGGGAAAGAATCCCAGTCCCAGTGCCCCCTCTCCCCTCATCCTTGCCACCACACTCAGGAGAGGTTGAGGGAGGTTTCTTTTACCTTTAGCTGGGCCCAGAGAGACTGATTACTGCCCCCTTTTCTCCACTCCAACCACTCCCAAGAGGGATGACTAGACACTGAGTCATACATAGTGACAAGGCTGTCGCCCACTAGTCACCTTACATAGGTTAAGACTAGAGAAGCAGTCCTCTTTCACTTCTGCCATTGTCTCTCTTCCAGCAAGAGGATATATGAGGCAAGACCAGGAGGTCAGGAAAAACTGAGCAAAAGGAGCCAATGTGCGGGAAGCCCAAAGTAGCTAGGAATAGGAATATAAAGAAACCCTAGCCAACGGCTCAGTGAAGAGTGTCGGCCCGCAGACCAAAGGGTCCCCAGGTTCGATTCTGGTCAAAGGCACATACCTGGGTTTCAGGCTCTATCCTCAGTCCTGGTCAGGGTGCAAGCAGGAGGCAACCAATGTTCCTCTCTCTTCCTCCCCCTCTCCCCTGCTTCTCATCCTCCTCCTCCCTTCCCTTCTCCCTAACCACCAATGGAGAAAAAGACAGGGGTTAGTAGGACAGAGATGAGATGAACTTGCAGGAAGTTGGAGAAGGCTTCTTGGAAGAGTCACTTCTGAGCTGAGTCAGAAGGATGTCTGACCGACGGGGAGGGAGAGGACAGGCATTTCAGGCTGAGGGAGCAGCACAAGTAAAGATACAGAGGAGCCCAGATGAAGATTTATTGATCTGATTCTGGAACAGTGGCATTGCAGAGGCCCTTGACAAAGACAATCAAAGGACTTTAAAAAGAGCAGCAACAAAACTAACTTGTGTTCAGTTTTCCTTCTGCTTCACGACTGGACAGTCTTCAATAAAACACACATAATTAAAAAAAATTCAATGGAAAAATATCCTCAGGTGAGGATTAACAACAACAACACTACCAACAGCAAAAAAACAAGCAGAGATGGAGGTCCACCTGAGGAGGGCAGGGAGGTGAGGCCTGGGGTATTTAGATTTTGATGAGTTGAAGACTTCTATGAAGAGGCCTGGTCCATAGCTTCAGGATGACAAACAAAAATGGTCCGCACTGTGCTTCTCAGGATGCATTAGCAGCAAATCAATAACTACAGGGGTACTGGGCCACAGCCAGCTGCTCCTGCCTAAAAATAATGCATCCTCCTTCCCTTCCCCCAGGTTCAGAGAGCAAACTAGGGAAGGGGTGGGGGTGGCAGCCAAACAGAAGCAGCAAGACTGCAGCAGCCTAGAAGAACCAAGAGCTAGTCCTGGGTCCCAGGGGTCTTTTATATCACAGACAGACTTCACGTACTTATTAGGTCTAGTAATAATTAATGTTGTTTTCTAATACTTTTTTAAATCGAATTTATTTAAACAACAAAATTTAATCAACAATATAGTTGCCGTTGTTTTCTACTACTTGTGCCCAACGCTCAGGAAGCATTTTAATCCCTCTGTTGTAAAATTCTTGTGATTTTGATGCAAAACATTTGGTCAATGCATTTTTGAGGCATTCTTCATTATTAAATTTTTTTCCAAGAAGAAAGTTTTGCAAAGAACGAAACAAATGGTAATCAGAAGGGGCAATATCAGGAGAATATGCAGGTTGAGGGAGAACTTCCCATTCCAACTGGCGCAGTTTTTCAGCAGTGATTCTTGCAGTATGCGGTCATGCGTTATCGTGGTGAAGAATTACGCCCTTCCGATTAATCAGCGCGGGTTCTTTTTCTCTTAAAGCTTGGGCTAACCTTTCCAATTGGGCACTATACACTGCACTTGTAATGGTTTCGGTAGATGGTAAAAGTTCATAATGAAGAATTCCTTTAAAATTCCACCAAACACACATCACTTTTTTCGCATGCAAGTCAGGTTTTGGCGTGGGCTGCGGAGCTCATTTTTTTCCAACCATTGAGGCCGCCTTTTCAAATTAACATACAGCACCCATTTTTTCATCTCCGGTAACAATTTGCTCTAAAAAGGGCAAACGGTTTTGACGAGAGAGGAGCGAACTGCAAATTGTGACTCTTTGATTACGGTTGTTGTCGGTCAACTCATGAGGAACCCATTTTCCAAACTTTTGGACTTTGCCAAGTGCACGCAATTGATTGGAAATTGTTTTTTGTGAACAATTTAAAGTTGTCGCAAGCTCTTGTTGGGTAATTTGAGGATTTTGCACCAAAAGAGCTTGAAGAGCCTCTTTATTTATTTATTTATTTTTAAATATATATATATTTTATTGATTTTGTACAGAGAGGAAGGGAGAGATAGAGAGAGAGAGTCATCGATCAGCTGCCTCTTGCACACCCCCTACTGGGGATATGCCCGCAACCAAGGTACATGCCTTTGACCCGAATCGAACCCGGGACCTTTCAGTCCCCAAGCCGACGCTCTATCCATTGAGCCAAACCGGTTTCGGCATTGAAGAGCTTCTTGATCAAAATTGGACACACGGCCTCGACCACTCTTGTCATCTAACGAAATATTTCCCTCGCGAAATTTCTCAAACCAACACTGGCATTTTCTGGCGCTAACTGCATCTTGACCAAGAGCACTACAGATGTTTTTTGCAGCCTCACTTGCTTTTCTTCCTAATTGGAACTCGTAAAGCATGCAGTGCCGAATATGCTCTTCATCCGCCATCTTCTTAGCCCTAGTTTTGCAACAAAAACCAAACCAAACACAAAGTTTTTCAAGCAAAACTTGTTAATTGCACTTCACACGTTCTGTAGATACCACGTGTTTGAAGGTTATGTCAATACAAGTCAACGCCAAGCAAAATTTTAAACGAATGTTTAAAAACGACATTAATTATTACTAGACCCGATAATAATTGTGTTAAATGCAATCCCAGAAGTAAACATCACCAAAAAAACCATCATTCTGCTTTAGAAGTCTGAGAGCTGACAAATTAAAACTTAACAGCAATTATCCATATTTTTAGCAAGATAATAAAGTCTTAACACTCCGTTGCCATAGAGACCAGTAAAGAATGAAGGAGCCCCACCAGCCCTACCTCTGAACCTCAGACCTCCTCCTCTTGGCTGATTTCTAGCTGGTAAGCCAGACTCTGACTCAGTTGTCTGTCACAAGCCTTATAAAGGGGACAGAGGAATGGGTACCTCCCTTTTGGCAGGGCCATTCCTGGAATACTCAGCTCCCTGGAAGTCACTGGTCTCAGGCCCGTGTTGTCCTAGGCAGAGCTATATATCTGAAAAGCAAGAGTTGAGGTGACTGGGAGAATAGAAGGCTTATGGTCTGCAGAGTCCCAATGTATGATGCCCAAATCCCTTTGGATACTGGACTTGGATTCCCACTACAAAAAGGGCTAAAGGCAGTATGGAGGCTAATAGTAAGAATGTTGAGCTTGGAAGATTTCTCTGATAAATAGTTAAGTCCTCTAGATCAGAGGTCGCTAACTGGTAGTCCGTGGACCACTGGTGGTCCGTGAGGTCCAAAAGGTTGGCGACCACTGCTCCAGATCATACAACCCTAAAGAAAGGTGCGGAATGTCACACTGCCATCTGGTGGAGAGACAAGATCTGTCCTTAGGCACAGAGACAGCCTGGTAGTCTCTAGTGGGCAGTAGGTTTGGAGATAGTTAAGGTAAGACAGATAGGAAACCAAGGGGCAGAAACTATAATGCAGATACAGACAGGGTATCTGTACACAGGTGTGCACCTTTTGTCCTGTTTTATTTCTAAAAATACCATTAAAATAAAGAAAACACAATGGCATTGTTTTTACATTCCTACAACCACTCTTGGTTTTGGCTCATTACAAGTTAACATCAGACACAACTGACTTGAGACCACACACATATGGGCAGCAGCCACAACAGCAAGGCTTGCCTTTTGTACAAAGTTTATATATATATATTTATGTACACAGACACAAGTTCATAAAATCCAGTGAGAAGGGCTCAGATGTGCCCAAGTAGGGGACAGGAGCGGCTTTAGCACAGGGATGGAGCCCACAGGAGAGGCACATCGGAGTAGTGGAGAGTAGCAGCTTCCCCACCATCCTCCCTTCCTGGACCAAAGGAAGAACCTGGGAGGAAGGACAACTAACTATACAAAAGATGATGGAAAATACTGGAAAGGTGCCCCATCTTTCACTAAACTCCTGAATGCCCCTAAGACATCCAAAACACCTGCCAGCTATTTTGCTCCCAGCAAACTGCAGAGCCCACAGTGGTTCTGGCCCCAGGCTGAGGTCTCAGGCAGGCTTCACAATGCACATGCACATCCACGCTATCTTCTAGGGCCCTTGTAGCATCAAGCCAGCACCTTCAAGGTTCAGCCCCCAAACTGCAAAGTCCTCTTGGGCCAGAGGGCTTAAGGGTTTTTCCTTGACAAAATTGTAGGGTAAAGGTATAGGGAGGGAAAAAAAAAACACCCCAAAAACAGTTCTTTCAGTTAATGCCCAAAGGCCTTCTCAACAGAGGAGGAATTGAGAAATCACTAAGAGGTGAGGGCAATAAGATCATCCCAGGAGATGATATACATGGAGAGACAGGTGTTCAATAACTTTCTTCTCTTCAACTACTGGTTGCTCAGCAAAGTCCATTCCCAGTGTGTCCAGGGCAGGAGTTCTTCTTGGTGTCTACAGCCCCAGTTCCCCCCGAGTTAATGTCCATGGCTTCAGGATGGCTTGATCCACAAAATGGATAGAAGGGGCCGTAGAATGGTAGATATGAAGAAGGGAGTGACAGGGCGCAGAGGCATAGGGAGGCAATGTACTGTGCCACTGACTTACTTGGGGCCAAGAGAAGAGGTGAATGGAAGTCAAACGAAAGAAAATAACCAGAGACTAAAATGAATGAGGTCCTGCGGCTCACATGGTCGGGGGGGTAAAAAGGCTGGAAAGCTGAAAGCACTGGGAGGCAATTGCCTGAGAGGCAAGGTTCAGGGCTGGACTCAGAGCTAGAACAGAGAGAGAGGCAAAGTGAGTCAGTGAGCACAGCATTCATTCTTCCCAGGCCCAACCCATCTATCCCTTTCCCAAGTCCACATTTACCAGTCAGAGCTGCTGGGTTTAGGGCCCCCAAGTGAACTCCATTCAGCTGCAAGGCAGCAGCTTGGGCAGCGGCGGCAGCAGTGCCTGTGGTTGGCAGTTGGATTCCAGAGCCTAAAAGGGAAAGAAAAGGTGGGGTTAAGTCCCAACCCTCAATCTACAATTCAACCCCATGTTTTTCACTCTGCAGAGTAAGTCTACCTTCTGCCAACTTGGCCATGAGCTGCAAACGTCCACCTGCTGATCCCGGATCCCGCTCCTGGTCTCCATCAGGAAAAGTGATGTCTGTGCCACCATCCGGTCGCTCAGTCACATGGCCAACCCTCATAGGTCGACCAGCAAGCTCAAAGCCATTCAACTGTTCCAGGGCCCGTCGGGCACACTCAGAGTCAGAGAACTACAAGAAACCCAGGTCATTATCAGTCACCTCTCGGCCAGAGATATGCCCTCAAAGCCCCACTAACACTCCTAGTCCTACTACCCAGGAAACTTGCATGGGTGCTGCAACACAAATTTTTCTTTCTCAAGGAATGTGACCTCAGATCCCCCTAAAACTGATCTTTGAAAGGGACTTTTTCAACTGATTTCAATCTCTGAGCTCCACTAAAAATCTAACCATGTAAAAAGTCTATTATCTGTAGGGAGCCTAGCCTGACTGGCCGTCTCACAAATGGGGATATAAAATGGAAGTAAGACAGACTGAGAGCTAAGACTCCAAGGCTTTTTGAGATCTTGCAACTAGTAAGTTTAAATTCTCAGTTAAGAGAAGGAATCTGGGCCTCCAGAGCCCAGCCTTAGGAGGTAATACATCCTAGTATTAAAAGGAAACTGCACCCAACCTCCACCTCCACCAGAAGACTGCTGACTCAGTAACCCACAGAATCTCAACTCTCTCATTCCTTTCAGCAGCAGCAGCAGCCTGGCATAAAGAGGATTCCCAATCTTCTGTTTAAAGAGTTAAGGGTGTTGACCTAAATGCAGCAACAAAAGGGCAAAAAGGCCCCATAGAAGCCTTTCCAAATCTGACTCACACAGGGAGCTAGAAAAGATACTGCCACTAGGAACGCCACAGCTGGCTTTGTTTACTCTGATATTACCTGCCCTAGGGCCTGGCACATGGTAATGACAGTTCCTAGGCATGTGGTGTAGATGGCCTGCCTTTACTGGATACCTTTTTTTTTTTTTTTTTTTTTTTTTTTTTACAGAGAGGAAGGGAGAAGGATAGAGTTAGAAACATCGATGGGAGAGACTCATCAATCAGCTGCCTCTTGCACACCCGCTACTGGGGATATGCCCGCAACCAAGGTACATGCCCTTGACCGGAATTGAACCTGGGACCTTTCAGTCCGCAGGCCAACGCTCTATCCACTGAGCCAAACCGGTTATGGCTATACTTTTGAGGTAAGCAATTGCCATGGTAGAACACAACCTCCCTTCCCTCTGCCCTGCAGGTAACTCTGGGGTGTATGTTGCCTGGATTGAGCCCAGAAAATATCAACTTCTATCAGACTTTGTGGCTGGCAGCCAGTCCTCAGCCTGGAGTCACATGGGGCTAGAAGAACCAGTTATGGGAATTGGAAACAATTTTGCTGGAGTGTCAGGAAAAGATGAGACTGCCCACTATTAGGTGGCCTCACTATTCTCCCTATAGTGGGATTTAAATATAAAGATACTTCTCAATGAAAAACCTACTTCAAACAGGGTAGCAAAGAGGTAAGTATATAACTTCCTATTCCCACTCCATCATGAAAATACGTCAGTTCTATAAAGCATGTCTATAACAGCTCATACCTAACCTCCCTCACACCCCTAACCTTTTATTTGCAACCTGGAACCATAACTATTTCCCGAAGAGTAAATTACAGCCCCAGGGAAGGTGGTAGAACTCCTGGACACCCGCATACACTGACAGAGTGTAGGAACAAAGCCAAGATCTCAAACAATGCATTCATCTCAAGGGGCAAAAGGCTAGTAGTCCAAGGTTCAGCACCAAGGTTTATGGGCCACTTAGACCAGCAGTCGCCAACCTTTCAGGCCTCACAGACCACCAGTGGTCTGCAGACTACCAGCTGGCGACTCCTGCTCCAAAGGTTTCCTTAAACCAGCGGTCGCCAACCTTTCGGACCTCATGGACCACTGGTTGGTAACTACTGATTTAGACAGTTCCTAGAGGAGGAGGATGAAGCTAAGCTGCAAAATCAGACACATACACATACACAAATTGAAGTAAATAAAGGCTAGAGACTCACCGTAATGAAACCATAACCTTTAGAGCGGCCTGTACCCGAGTCCTTCATCAGGACAATATTATCAATCTGTAAAATGGGGAGAAAATATTAATAATCTTTTGGCTAAGCCACACACCTTTGACCCTTCCTACCCAGACTATTCTAAATATCTCCAAGTTTCTAGCCACTAATTACATTTCTCCAAATCTTTTTTAAAAGAGACAAAGGCCATTCCCCCTCCACCCCCATAAACACCCTTTCTGACTAATCTTACTTAATCTGGACCCCTCTGATTTCATGGTGCTGACTCATTTGTCTACTGAACAGAGATGGAACCTAACTTTGCAAGCATGGACGCATATGCCCATTACTATATATGCTGTGGGTTAATCATGGTCAGACAGAATGAAGAGGAACACTCACCCTGCCCACTTTTCCCAATTCCCTTCGGAGGTTTCCCTCGCTTTCTACTCACTCTGCCAAAGGGCTCAAAGATGCCCCGGAGCATGTCCTCGGTGATGTTGCAGTGCAGGGAGCCCACATAGAGGCGCTTTGGTCCACCACTGCCTTTCTGTAGGTTGTTGGCCATGGCTGCCAGCCGGTTTTTCTCAGCCTGAGGAAGGAGGGGATGATGGGTCAAGTCCCACACCTGCCACCTTCAAAGCTGTTTTCTCATATCAGTTTCTCAGCCTGCTCACCTGCGAGGCCTGCACAATGATGGGCACCCCCAGCAGCCGCTGCCCCGTCAACCCAATGGCCAGTGGCACAGACTGGATTTCACAGAATTCCACATAGGCAATGCCCTTAGAGCGACGGGAGTTCCGATCTGAGATAATACGTACGTCACGAACCTATCCAGGGGAAAAAGGAAATCCTAAGTTGGATAGAGAGGGGGATGGATAAAGGACAGACTACTCAGAAGAAAACTAAAAAGGAAAATGATACCTTGCCAATAGCAGAGAAAAAGTCCTCCAGGTCTCGAGGCCGAATGCGAGCAGCTAACTGCATACAGAACACTGTTCGGGCATCACGTTCCTCGGGACTCAGATTATCAATTGGCTCCCTAAAAAGTAAAACTTATTAAGACCTGCTCCCCCTCCCTCCACCCCACATGTGTCAAACACAAGGCCCGCGGGCCAAATCCGTCCCGCCAGGCCTTGCAATGTGGCCCGCACCGCGCTGTCATCACTGCACTCCGCTGCATTTCCATCACAATGACAGTTTATGACTGTTCAGTAAACCATTCGGCCCGCGATTTAGGCTGGATTTTAGATTTTGGCCCCTTCTCTGATTGAGTTCGACACCCCTACTCCACCCAATACTTGGTCTTTGTTTCCCAGCTACTCTCAAGTACCACACATCCCTAGTTTGGCTCAAAGAGCTTTTTATTCATACCACCCAATTCCTAAAGAAGTGCCCATCCTTAACTCACCTGACCGGACTCTTCTCTCTGACATGAGGACTCTTACTGTGTCCATACCTATGCCTAAGGAATAGAGAACAAACAAAGTGAAAATGTGTCACTCAACTTTGTGGCAGGGACCACAGCAAAAGCGTTTTACCCAGACTACAATACGAAGGCGAGCTTATTAGCAAAAGGTGATACCCAGCGGCAAGTGGTGGACTCCGGTAGTGCACACGATTCTCACGACGTGGGGCCCGACTTCTGGACTCACTACTATGTTGATGATCCCAGCTATGGCTGCGGTGACGACGCTGCCGATCTCGGCTTCGGCTCCGACTACTCCTCCGTCTATGCCGATCCCGGTCTCGACTACGGTCTTGACTACGACTGCAGAGGGAAACAACCATTTAGTCTATTAAAGAACCAACCAACCTCTTTTGGCTTTTAATGTATAGCTTTCCCTGGTATCTTTCCCTTTGTAGTAATTCTCAAAACCCAAAAGCCCCCAGAATAACTGACCTGCGCTTTCTATCCCTGCTTTTACTATGGCTCCGACTCTTCTTCCTGTGAAAGACAGTGTAAATTCTTATTATTGTGAAGGTTTCATGATCTCTCCCACATAAAAGGAATGAGAGTATGGCCAGGGTGAATCAGAACGTAATAAAGGACCAAAGTCCAGATGATCTGATAGCAGCTCACAGCAACTGCACAATACCAACTTACACACAGCCCTGGATGCTGTCAGGCATCTGATCAGCCAAAGCTGGTGTTTCCAAAGTAGGAGGAGTCTTCTTGCTATTTTACTCAAATGAAATATATCAATGCTGGGACTGATCCACAAATCTACACTGAAAAGCTTAAACTAGATCAAAACTAAATCACCGTTATGCCCAAGACTCAGTGAAGCCAAAAGCTGTCTTAGCTCTGGCTGGTCTGGCCCAGTGGATAGAGTGTCGGCCTGAGGACTAAAGGGTCCCAGGTTCAATTCTAGCCAAAGGCACATGCCCGGGTTGTGGGCTCGATCCCCCCCCAATGGGGGACGTGGGGGAGGCAGCCAACCAATGATTCTCATCATTGATGTTTTTATCTCTCTAGCTCTCTCCCTTCTTCTGTGAAATCAATAAAAATATATTAAAATAATAATAATTAAAAAAAAAAACAAACTGTCTTAGAAACAATTACCTCCCTGTTCTTGCTATTTCTCCAATAGACAATATTGCTTCCCTTCCTAAATTGCCAACCCATTTCCTCACATCAACTCACTTGCTTTCCTCCCCACTGGTGCTGCTCCCACCGCCACCATTGCCGGTGCTGCTGCTGGTGTTGCTAGGGCCGTCCTTTTTAACCTCCTTCCTTTGCTGCTCATCCTGAAGTTCACCAGAAAAATGTCGCAAAGTTCAACATGGCAGACATACAGAATCCATTGGGCACAGAAAGAACAAAAGTGGACAAGGAAAAAAGCATATGAAATCAAAGCTCTAAATTACCTAGCCAACTTCTAAACACCTGGACCTCCTAACAAAATTAATTAGAAAGGGAGGAAAACTACCCAAAAGGAAGAGATCAGAGGGACAGATTTTGATGTCAAAACTTTAGCTACTTAACATCTATTTCTCAGGAGAATGAGAAGTCAGTTAGGTCTGAGGTACAGGTCTGACTTTCTACTGTATCATTGAGAACTATGAACAAAGTTCCCATTTCCACCCCATTTGTGTTTTCCCCTCCATTTTAGGGGGCCCACTCTGAAAGCAAAGCCCTTGAGTACTGGTTTCCGGAATGGCTTACTAAAAGACTATGCCTTTTATGAATAGCCATTGTACACAATAAACAAGCAGAGAACGAGAATTCACAAGATGTTGAGATCAAAGATCCACAATTGCTTTTTCTTACTAACCCAATTCCAGGAGTAAGGTGGGAATATTACCTCCTCTTTTTTATAGGGAGCCTCCAGCATGGCCTCAATCACTATATCAAAGTCATCGGATGCCATCACAGCAGATCTGAGGAGAGGATATCAATACACAAGAACCTCATTTATATTTTTCCTCCCCTTCCAGCACACCATATTCCCTTCCCCCTCTAAGAAACAGACTTTAGAACATAGTTCTGTTTCATAAACTCCAAAGGAATCATACCGGCTATTTGCTTACCCTAGGTTTATTTTTGCACCATACAGACCTGAACTGTTTCTGCTTGATGATTTAAAATAGGTGAAGGGTCTACAAGGAAACTGGGTAGAGACAAAATAATACAGACCCTGTCCTGTCCTGTGAAAAGGAAGTGTTTGTACTCAAAATTACACTTTACAATGAACAAACACTAGGCCTCCATTCTACTGCTCAAAATTCTGAATAAATAACTGGTTTAATAAACTAATGAGCAAAAAACAGATCCGGAAACAGAGAAGCATTGATCAGACCCTCAAACCTCAGAGGGAAGGTAGGGGAGAATGGGGGTAAGGGGAAGAGATCAACCAAAGGACTTGTATGCATGCATATAAGCCTAACCAGTGGTCATGGACAATAGAGGGGTGGGGGCATATGTGGGGAGGGGTTTGGGATAGGAATGGGGGATGAGGACAAATATGTGATACCCTAATAAAAAAATAAAAAAAAAAACTGGTTTAAACTTACATCATAGAAATAAGCACATATTTCCAATAAAAAGGTAAAGATGCAAGACTAAAAATGAGAAAATACAAAGGAACACCAGAATAATGCAGATTTGCCCTATGCTATTTCCCACATTCCCTCCCAAACATCAATAATTAGGGAACTCAGCATTAAGCATTTTTCATAAAATAACAACTAGTTTAGATAACTCAGAAAGATAATAATTAAGACAAGCTTAACCAATTCCACTTTGAAGCCTTTCTGTCTAGGCAGGCAGGGTGAGATTTCTTGCCTCACCCAAGCTTTCACATGTAGCAATCATCTTTCCTAAGTGTGTCCACCACAGGTGTCTTAAATAAGAAAAACAGAAGATTCCAAACAAAATCAATGGGAAAATTTATTCAGAAATTACTAGTCTGAAGTTATCAATATACACAACATAGATGAATCTCAAAATAATTATTTTAAGTGAAAAAAATCAAACAAAAAAAGAAGAGTATGTATTGTATGATTACATTTATGCAAAATTCTAGAAAATGCAAACTAACCTGTAGTGACGAAAGCAGATCAGTGGTTGCCTAGGGATAAGAGTAGGTAGGGAGGGGCTAGGAGGAAAAGGATTACAAAAGGGCACAGGAAATTTTTGAGGTGATGTTTCATGGATAAAACATATCAAAACCCATCAAACTATATGCTTTAATGTGTGTAATTGTATATCAACTATATCTCAATAAAGCTAAACCCCCTCCAACTAATCTTAAGAAGGTCTACGCTGAGCCAAAACCGGTTTGGCTCAGTGGATAGAGTCCAGCGTTTTTCAACCGCTGTTCCGCGGCACGAGATGTTGCCTGGTGTGCCGTAGGTGCAGACAAGAATTTTATAATTTTTCACTATTTTGTTTACTTAATATTTCATAATAAAGTAATTATAAAATACTTTCTTTGTGTTTATTTGATTCCTATTCAAGAGTATTACTTTATATATAGTCAATATAGGCACAGAGTTAAATTTTTTAACATTTTCTAATGGTGGTGTGCCTCGTGATTTTTTTCATGAAACAAGTGTGCCTTTGCCCAAAAAAGGTTGAAAAACACTGGGATAGAGCGTCAGCCTGCGGACTGAAGAGTCCCAGGATCGATTCCGGTCAAGGGCATGTACCTTGGTTTCAGGCACATCCCCAGTAGGGGGTGTGCAAGAGGCAGCTGATCGATGAGAATCATCGATGTTTCTAACTCTCTGTCCCTCTCTTCCTCTCTGTAAAAAATCAATAAAATATATTAAAAAAAAAAAAATCTGAGGTTCTATGAACTGTCCAGTCACAAAATTCAAATGGAGAAGCTGACTCATGAGTGAAGTCTTCTGACCCTAGTCACATGGTCGGCAAACTATGGCTCCCGAGCCACATGCCACTCTTTGGCCCCTTGAGTTTGGCTCTTCCACAAAATGCCACGGCAGAGGCGAGTCTATTTTGAAGAAGTGGTGTTAGAAGAAATTTCAATCATTGTATGGTTGATATTTGGCTCTGCTGACAAATGAAGTTTGCCGACCACTGCCCTAGTCTAATGTTCTACCCATTATATTGGTTAGCTGTCTCTCGTGGTTTATAACTTAAAAGAAAATTATTTTCATATTATTTTTATATTTAAATGTACTTATCTGGCAAATTAATATTCCCATAGGTTTATCAACAGAATCAGTCTCATTAGCCATACCTTATTGTATATGTTTCAAAATATCAAGAACAAGGCTAATTGTAACATATACTATTTGATCTATTATGGAAAAATGGTTCTAAACAGTTTTAATCCTCAAACTGTTCCTTTCGGTCATTTTGGCTGCCAACTCTACACAAAATTTCTAATTATCACTTACAATCTGCTTTGTCCTCCCTAAATGAAATGCTTCTGATTTCAAGAATCGTTGAGTGCTAGTACAGGGTTGGGTAACCTAACACACAAAATCTTTCACTTAAGTTGATACGTGTTCCCGCCAAAGATGGAGTAAAATTCTCACTCAGACACAGAAACAAATGAATGAACTGATTTGGGGGGGCCCAGACATATACAACATGAGCACATTTTGAAACTTGTAATCTCACTATGTTTAGTATAGCTTTCTGATATCCTAAAAGCATTAAAGTACCAAACAATATACATTTTCAGGCTGTTAGTTTTTAAACTTTCTCCCTGTCCTAATTTATTGGTCAAAGTCCATTCAAAACCATCCATTAAAACATTACAGAACTTTCTTCCATCCCTGCTCCAAAACCTGCATTTTACGGGCCCACAATCACAGGCAATGCTTAGATCCGGTCACAATAAAGACTTAGGTCCCACTACTGCAGGGCATAGGAGAGTGAAGGGGCACTGTCAGCCCCGGTAAGGCCGAATTCACCAAACGTTCGAGTCCCAGGGGTGCTGGTAGTGCCATCTCCTGGGTCCGGCCACTGAGCTGGCACAAACATCTCCAAACTGAAAGCAGCTTAACTAAGAACAGGAACAATGAGAAAGCTAAAAACATTGCCCACTATGTGCACAAAGGCCACGCTTTTTTTTTTTTTTTTTTAAACGACCCTATAAAGTACCATCTCTGAGAGGGTCAGTGTCCCGATGCTAAAACCTCATACGTGGTTCACTATACTCCTCGTTCGCCACGGAAAGTGTGGTCATAAAAGGGAAGAGGGAAAAGCCCACAGAGACCAATACACTGAAGAGTCTTCCTGAAACCTAAGACCGAGAAAGAAACTCAATGCTCTCACCTCCAGAATGGTGGCACTAGGGGCCGAAAACCGAACCTACGTTTTCCCTCAGGTCCCGTGGGGACGCTCCCTCCCCAGGGTGGACCGCGGGGACCTGGACTGAGATCGTTGAGTCCCTGGGACCCTGACACAGCGTCTTCCTCGGCAAGAGATAGCCACAAGGGTGCCGATCCCTAAAATCCTGCCGGTGGGCTCTATTCAGGCAGCAAACACTTCCGAATCAAATATAAAAAGTTTTTCTTTTAAAAGTTTGCCTGATTCTGCTCTTGTGCTCTTGACGCCATTTTCTGCCTGTGACGTCAGAGGTAAGCGCCGGGGGCAACGTCACGCACAGGTGACGTCGCGAGGGAACCAGGTTTCAGGGTTTCTCACCAGCTCCGGTCCTCGCGGGGAGAGCGGGACCCCGGTCTTCTCTGCTCCTCTGGGTTTGTTGGAGGGTGCGAAGCACGGCTGTCTTCAGAGCCTCAGCAGTAGAAGCAGCGCTGCAGCCCAAGCCGCTTCTCTCCCCGCAAAATGGCGTGGCTCCACTCTCGCCCAGACTCTCCCCAGTCTGCGCAGGCGCCAAAACGTGAGGCGCTGGGACTAACTTCACTGGTTTCGCGGCAACAGGCCCAAGTTCAGAATTTCATTGGTTAAAATTGTAAGCATGGGTGGAGCCAAACTCAAATGCTTCTTGGCAACCGTGACGTTTCCAATGATTAGCTAACTTCTCGAGACTTCCGGAAGTGGAAGCGGCCTCTGGCGGCCGCTCATTGGCTGAATGACGTGCGGAAGGCGGGAAGCCGGGCGGAGAACTGGCGGTGGGGATCCTCCCACCCGCTCCCAGCTCGGACTGACGAGGCTGCCCCACTGCTGAGCTGAGCCAACGACGACATGTAATAGACATTCTTGGCTCCAACTGATTTGTCAAGGGGGTCACGGTGGTCTAATGACAGCTTTGTGGAGAGCAACTGCGTTTGCTTCACGTCAGGAAAGATGCTGGACTCCATATCCCCTTTCTGAACTGTCCACACAACCCTTCCTAAGGCGTCCTCCTGCTCTCAGTGCTTGGGACGTGGGAAAGAGGTCATGTCACCAATTTGTCTGGTCCTACACCTCACGTACATTAATTCAAATCAGTACCCCACACCGCACCCTGCAGGGGTAAAGTAAACTTGAGACACTTCCTCAGGCGACTTCTTCCATGCAGCAGTAGTCAGCCTCCAACCAGAAAGGATGGAACTGATTTACATCCACCCCCCAATCCCAAGACTTCCAAAAAGGTGGCAGGTTCTAACAAAGAGAGAGCTAGAGTCAGAGGACCTATGTTCCAGTCTGGACTTGAATACTATATATTATTCTATCAACTTCAAATACCTCTATAAAATGGAGAATTGGACTAGGTGATCTCTTAGGACTCTTAACTCTATGATTTTATTCCAACACTAGTCATCCTGTGCACGAATTGGTGGGCAGTAGCTCTCTGCGGGGCCTGGCCGCTCCATGCCCACTGCCTAGAGGCTCTCCATGATGCAAGCATTCCACACCCCAGCTTGGCCAAAGGCCCATCTGTGGCCAGATGAGGAATGCTCACACTGCCCACTCTCAGTGGCATCCCTCTCCCCCCACCACCCCACAGACTGGGGCCCTCCAGCAGGGCTGAGAGGACTGGGCACCGCCATGTTTGTGATGGAGTGATGGTTAACTTGCATATTACCCTTTTATTAGATAGGATAATAGGTTGCCCTGGCTGGTATTCCTAGTGATTAGAGCATCAGCCTGTGCATTGAACAGTCTGGGGTCTGATTCCTGGTCAAGGACATACTTGTTTGCAGGTATGATCCCCAACCCTGACAGGACACATACTAGAGGCAAACAACGTGTCTCTCGCACATTGTTTTTTCCCCCTCCCCCCCTTCTATTCTCTCTCTCAAAAAAAAAAGTCAATGAAATATCCTCTGGTGAGGATTAAAACAACAAAAATAGGTGGCTCTGGCTAGAGTTGCCTGGATAGCTTTGTTTCTCTCTCAAGAGGCAACAAAGGTGCTTGGCAGTTCAGTAGCTAAGGAAGATAGAAAGCTGACTTTATAACCCATCTTTCCCTATGGTGGCAAATTATGCCTCCTCTCCAGACAAAAGCCTAATCACAGGTCCTAATAGACTAGACCTCTCTGTAGTTAATCAGAAAGACCTATACCCAGGAGTCCAAGAGTCACCACTAAGATTCTCAAATGGACACTCTTGGGTCTTGGATAAGGGCACAGATCTAGGTTTAGCCAAAATCAGTTTGGCTCAGTGGATAGAGCATCGGTCTGCGGACTGAAAGATCCCAGGTTCGATTCTGGTCAAGGGCATGTACCTTGGTTGCGGGCACATTCCCAGTAATGGGTGTGCAGAAGGCAGCTG